TTTAGATTACTTGACCCACAATTGGGTTTCTCCTCAACATGAGTATATTGGACATGACCGGGTCTTGATAATAAATAATTTGAGCAAGATCTTTGGAGATGTTTTTGACTGGTATGCTGAGTTCACCGACTAGAATGAAATTGTAAATTGGAACGCTCATATACTGTGAATGGCAAAAAGTCTTTTCTTCTTAACACGGGGAAGGTTCGTGAAGCGTCTAAGTGGATTAGAGTTTTGCGTCAATTTTCGTCATCATTGGAATTGTAATTCATTTATCGTATGCAATATCGAAAAGTATATAGAGTATAGAAATCAAATTGCTGCAAATTGTATGGAGATATTTGGCTAATTAGTTTGAAAAGTCTAAATGTTGGCCCAGTGCAAGAACAATTTATCCAAATCTTGGAAATAACAGTGATAAGGAATCTTACATTGTCATTATTACCTAGAGCAACTGTGTGGAAACCTATTTAACTGCTGTCATTTCCTGTTTCACTTGTTTACTACAGAGTACCGTAACCAGTTACGAAAGGAGGTATATGACATGTTTTTTTACCCACACTATCATATTGTTACATGTACGAGTAAATATTTTCTTGGTCTAAAGCTTTTTGGTAATTAGCATTTTGCAATATTTGTAATCGACGACATGTTTTTCATAGGCCAAAGCGATAGTGTGTTTGGATTGCTTCTGATGGGAACCGAGCCCATCGAGAGAATATCAGTAAAATTGGGTCTTAGCCCAATGTAGAATCTGTACATTTTAAAGGAGATTCGGCCCAAATTTAATATAATGGGCCAGCAAAGAGAAGATGTCCAAGAGACAAAGCAGGGAAAGAAATGAGGTTGGGGACCTGAAAGTGTGGGCTGGACCTCAGCCCATGAAGGACGGGTCACCCAGAAGAAGGAATCCCACAATTAGGGTACGCCGCCTCCTTAAGGAGGCGGGCAAATGGACAAAGGAAGCAAAGGATAATGGGCGGATGGAGAGATTTGTCCTTAAGTGGATGGCATTGAGTTAATAGACTTATTTCGGGGGAAAGTGAGGATTGCTTGGATATCCTCCCCAACTACCGCGAATATGTCGATGAGATGGTGGCTGGGGAGCTCCTATAAAAGAGGAGTAAACTTAGACAGAAAGATAACTTGTAATAGAGATAGAAGAGACTTGAGTAATAAAAGAATATTCCAGCGGTCCTTGAGCATATTTCGATCCCAGGTGGACCGAATAGAGGAAAGGATCACTGGTTTAAGCTCATTAGGGGTGTTCATCGGGTCAAACCCGGACCGGACCGGGACCGAATAAGGGGCATTTGGTGGACCGATTAAGCTAAGGACCGGTCCGGGACCGGACCGGTAAAACCCGGACCGGACCGAATAAATGTTACTTTTAATTTTTTTTTTAAATTTTATTTTATTTTTTTAATTTAAAGTATTCAATTGAATAAAATTATTACTACAACTAATTTTTAATTGTAACATGCACTAAACATTATCAAACACAATCCGTATTGCATAAAATCTGTTCATAATTTTTATTTTGCATAGGGAATATACTTCTTCTTAGTACATTTTTGTTTTTTTGTAATATTTTTTTGAGTTTCGAATTATTTTGACCAACAGATACATTTTTTACTATTTTCGTTCATGAGATTGTTTACAATGTTTGTCCTGCGGATTAGACTTTTATTATTGATAAAATACAAATTTAAGTTATAGTATTGGTATATAAATTTGAAATGCATTAGATCGCTAATTTAAAGATAATTTTTACTTTTTCACACTTTTCATATTAAAAATATTTAAAAATCATTACAATTGGTATCTTATTTTAAATTGAAATGTATTTAAAAAATTATATTAAATAATAAAATCAAAACATTTAAA